GCGACGTACTCGCCACCGAATTTCAAAGCCAACTGTTGAGAGATGAGATGCTTTTGTGGGGCATTTGTAGAGGTGGAGGTTGAAAGTAGCTTACATAAGCAAAATTGGATCTTTTCACAGGCCATTCCGAAGATATTTCATAATCAAGTTAGCCTCCTTTCTACGGAACATGTGAGAACACCTCTCTGTTATTTCACACTCCTCTTAAATATCGCCTGCACCCCTGGTGTTTTCTGTATTTTGTTCATTCTCAGAAGGGTAATCTTTTCATACTAAGCGATTTCCGTTTCATGTTAACAGAAAAAAATGCATCAAAATACATAGTAATTTGTCGGGACCGTTGCATTATTTCGTGTTAACCGATATGTTGTCTTCGCGTTTCGCATTAAACGTATTTTTTTTCACTGTATTCATTATTTTTATTGGGAAATAATGCTCCATCAGAAGCGAACTTTACCGCAGCCATCTCAAACGAATATGCAGTTGCTACAAAACCTTAAAAATTTTATGTGTGTAATTCAAAATTTGTACATGGGTACTAAATATATTTTATTTAATACTAAACATTGGACTTCTACAATAAAAAACATTTGACAATTTCTGTACCCAAATTATTTAAATAACTTGACCGTTAAAGGGTTAAACAGAGGCAAAATTCCTTAAGAGAGATATATATTTATCCTTACTAATATTATAAACGTGAAAGTTTGTATGGATGTTTGGTAATCTTTCTCGCTAAAACAACTGAATGGATTTTAATGAAACTTTACAATAATATAGCTTATACATCAGAATAACACATAGGCTATAATTTATATAGATGTTGTGTGAAGTGTTCAAAATATAACAGTAATTGTCAAGAAAGTAGGAAAAAATTCGGCCATCTGCAAAAAAGCCCGTGACAGTATATATCTATCTTTTATGTGTAAAGCAAAACTTTGCATTTTGTTTTGTCTACGCCAGGCTCCAGGAACTGCGAAAGCTTGAACGGGTGGGGTGTGAGGCTGATTACAATTTTAACATAAACTAAATACAACAAAAAATAATATTAACGTATTACACTTCCAGATATAAATTATTTATACTATTTTAAGCGTTCATTACACAAAATTTGTAACACTGAGCTACTTTTGCTGAACAGAGACCAGCTTAGGAAGGGGTTTTCAATGGGTCTTTCTATGTTCATTTTTTGTCAAAATATTTCATTTAAATAATTTTTTATTCTAATAATATTCTTAAAACAATTTTATACATGTATTCTAATTTAAATGACACTAAACATCATGAAAATTATCCATTAATACGCCTTTTTAAAATCACAGTTCCGAACGTAGTCGGATACCTTAAGAGTAATCAAGGTTTTGTTTAAACAGAGTAGTCCAAAAGTAGATATACAGTTCCTTTTTTGATGGAACCGTTGTGGAACATGTTGATCGAAGTTGTGTTGCCAGAACTGTAAGCATGGCCCGACTCCACGGAATTGTTCTTTCAACAGGACGGGGTTCCTGTTTCTTTGGCGGTCTGTCACTACCTGGATCAGGCATTCCTGTATCATTAAATGGGAAGACGAGGAAGCATTGAGTGACCACCACGTTCCCCGGACTTAACTCCAATGAATTTCTTTTTCTAGGGAGTAGTACAGGATAAGATTCCAGAAAACCCGCCATAGTACGATAGTTGGGAGAATTTCATCGATGATGTGTTTAAGGAAATTCGTTCTAACCGGAATTTGTGTCGCAATGTGTGTGAGAGTGTCGGGGACAGGTTGCAGGAATTCAACAATGACGAAGGTCAACATTTCGGGTACCTTCGGGATTAAATATGTAATTATATGTATGTCATTAAATCTGTTTTAAAAGTGTTACTGTATAAGAAACTGTAAACCTACTTTTGGGCCACCATGTATATTAACTGTGTCTTGAATGGAAATATGTGTATTTGTGCATAAAATTAAAAATTCTAATTCTGTTCTAATATCTATGTTCAGTAAAAGTTTAATTCAATTTTTTTTCAATCTGTGAATGGCAACTTTGAAATTCTTTGGGCCATATAATCTGTTTTCTTTTCAGTTATTTCAAGTTCCTTTATTGGATTGTGTTACATACAGCATTATAATGTCTTCTGGGGAGTTTTTCGTGCTTAAAACAATTTATCGTACCACGACTATGCTGAAAATTTATTTTTATTTTTTTTCTGCACAAATACTTGAAGGCTATTTTTGAGTAATGTTAAAGAATTGTGCTCGAATTTAGAATATTTCAGATATAAAGTGTTTCAACATTAATATTATATTCTGGCTTCACTATCCTTAGAGAGAGCAGTATATTTTATCATACTACTCATTTTTATCTGGGTTGATTCATTTTTTTCTGATATAAAAAGTGTTTCGAATTTTTTTTTTCTATTCCGTAATGTTAAACGAGCTATCTTTTAACAGGTTAGAAGGAGAAATTACTTATTTATGTGGAATATTTTGGAATTTTAAAAACGCTAAGCTGTAAACTAGCGTTTCTCAAATTGTGGGGCACGCCCCTCCCTAGGGTGGAGGAATAACTCTACGAGGGGGGCGGCACATTAAAAAGTTGAAAACAAAAGATTTAAAACAAATTATTAATTTATTGAAAGTAAACATACAAAATACATTCTGACACAATAAAAAATAAAACACACACACATTTACACTGATATAATAAACTTATAAAATACATTGTACAGTACTAATGCATTCATAATTAATTCAACAATACTAAGTTAAGAACAAATTTTTAATAATTACCAATGATCCCACGGATCTGTCATATATAAAATTATATACAAAAATTAACTCTTAGCTTGGTAATTTGTACGATTTATAATTAATCCCTTCACTGCCGATTAAAAATTACGCGATTCATTCTCCAATGCCACCGTTTTCCACGAAGGCGCGCGTATATGACGTATTGGAAGGGGGGGGGAGAGGAATGAATAAGCAAATCCTCTGAAATAAGTAAATCCTTTGCAAACACGGTCAAGGTGCTTTTATTGCATTTCAAAGCTCTTGGAATAATTTCATGGATAGCAGTACACAGAAAAGATCGTACTTCGGAAAGACGTATGTATACGACGTCTGGAGTAATTAAAGCTTTGCATGAGCGAAACGTTTATATACGCCAGTAGCACTTAAGAGGTTTAAGTCGTGTTGTTGCTTTAATATCAAGGTATAGTGTTATTAATTTCAATACATTGCATTTGTATGGAGGGGGGCGCGATAAATATGATTAAATATTGGGTCGCAAATATTGAAACTTAGAGAAGCACTGCTATAAACATATGCATGAATTGCAACTTTCAAATTTTCACTAAAATTGGGACATTTATCTGACTAAAAATTTGCTACACGTTTAGTCCAGGCTCTTGAATATTTGGCGAAGACACTCGGAATACATGATCGTTTGAGAAAAAAAGGCGCATTTTTCCACGCCTCATCTTTAGTTGTGTATCATTTTGATCCAAATTAAAATTTTTAAACGATATCAAAATTATTTTTAGCGATACAGAAACTCTATCAGCAATTTTAACAGATTACGTCTTGTAAAAAAGCGCGAATCTGTTCACTTTTATTAGAAGAAATATAATTTTCTTTACTTATTTTTAATCACCATTTTTTTTCAATGGTTACGAACTTGTAGACGCAGACTCGAGGGTCTTGGTGCCATTTGAAGACTCGCCGTGTAGAGAGGCTGATGCGTGTTAAATGTGTCTAGACCAAAGTCCTTCCGTTGCGTTGTATGCCAGTTTGGAGAGGAGGGCAGTTCAGGCATCGTACTCGTCACTTGACCGAGGTTCAGGATTACGAAGACCGTTGCCAATAGCCCTTGTATTGTCTTACACTGCTACGTCAGTTTTCGCTCCCTCTTACATAATTTCTGAAAATACTCTAGTTGTTTAATTAAAATAGTCATAATTTTTTTGAATTTTATGGGGTGGGGGCTCTTCATGCATCAGTTCCCCTATCCCATGTTGTTAAAATTTTGAAAGAATGTTTTGAAAAAAATGGCTGGTCGTATAGTTTTAAGTATTTTAGGTGCACTTATTGTATTGTTATTATTATGTTAATAACAACCTTTTAAAAAGTTTTGATTAGTTTTTTTTAGTATTAAGCAACATGGGAAAAGTTTCAAAATAGTGAAAATTCATGCACGCATTAAACTGTTATTTTTTTCAATAATTATTTTAGAAAAATTTCTTTTTAAAATACTTATTTATGTCGCATTAATGTGTACGAAATTTCAAAGGGCTTAGGTAAGCAGCTTTTGTAAACATGTTTCTTTTGTGTTGCAGTTTACACTTTTGGGAAATTACGATTTAAAGATGAAACTCTTACCATTAAATAATGCGTACCATAACTCTATAATTTGGATTGCTAAAGTACTACTAGTTTAGCTAGAGCAAAAATTTATACTGCATTTTAAGCAGAAAAGATTTGCAGGCTGTTTTAAAAAAATTGAAAAATCATTTTTTTTTGGCGAATTTTTGTTAAGGGATCTCATTAAAGTAAACAAAATTAAAACTGTTTTGTTTGCACAAATGATATTTACCATTGTAATAAGAAAGATTTTATGAACTTACTATCAAATTCGTTATAAATAGTGCACACGCACAACGCATACACACCTCTATATACGCAAATATATATAATCTAAATATCTTTAATAAAACAAGTAATATAAAAAAATTTTAAAGTCAATTCCTACTTAGGTCAACAAAAAATTTTTTTATTTTAGATACCTTTTATTAAAAATAGTTACAATTAATATAATTATGTATATACATATGACACAGAATCACAATATTAAGTGACAAAATAGAAAGCGACTTTCCTTGCAATTTTCCATTTTCCTTTCTAAATAGCGTGTCGGACTGTTTTTGTTATTTCTTCTTACTATATATTTATTACTAAACTTAATTATATATTCAAAAAAATAGTATAGTAAGAAAAAAATCATTCTCAGAAATTAGGCTATCCCAGGTGGGATTCGAACCCACGACCTGTGAATTAGAAGTCCAACGCACTACTATCCATTGCGCTACAGGGACACCACAAGCGATTTTCCTTTTTATATACGGTGTTGGACTATTATTTTTGTTTGTTTCTTTTTATAAATTTTTAAACTTAATTAATGAATTATTATTTGAAAAAACTTTATTAACATCAAGTGTCATCCACTACAAGTTTTAAAAAATGTATTTTAACTTGAATGGATGAATGCAAAGTATTTTATTAACGATTGAAAATTTGAACAATATATATATATATATATATATATATATATATATATATATATATATGACATGATTTTTGAGTCAGAAACAGACTTAGTTTTTAAAAAGGAACTTTATTTGATCAAAGTTAGACATCATCTCTGACACAAAGAGGCAGAGAGAAAAACGGACGCCACTAAAAATCTTTAAGTGGGTTAACACTTAAGACAACGATAGCGGATTTCATGAGTGCACTTGAAGGTTAATGCTGACATATAGAGCTATTAAATATAAAGATCTAGAATTAGACATGTTTATTGGCTAGGCTATATGTTCGGAAGAAATAAATGGGTGACTAGTTTGATACTTGAAGAGGTAAGGAAAAAAAAAAGTAAAAGTGAAGTGCTAGATAGGAAATTGAATTTTTAATCTAACTTAATCATCCTTACACGCGCACGCGCGGACAGAGTGAGCTAATAGTAGGAATTGAAATGAAACACAAAAAATTGATTAAATTGTAGTAATTTAAATCCTACCTAATCCTGCATATGAGTTTATTAGAATTGCAAATAAATCTAATTAAAGTTCCTTCAAAACAAGTCAATATGTGTTTATTTATGTCTGAAGTAATTTGGATAATATTATGCATTATATCGAAATCTGTAAAGATCTACAACCGAATATTTCATGTGTTTGAAGATGCATATATAAAACTCAGAATTAAAATACAGCAATTGTCTATCTTATTTTACTTTCATATTCTTAGAATATAGTATAAAGCATACTTTATGAATTAATGGTAAAGTATTTAGACATTTATTAGTTGTGACGCGAAGTTTCACATTATATTATAACGACTATTATTATCTCCATAAATCACACACACATTATGAGGTTTCTGTTTAAGTTATTAAATACTCTTCTAATGTCTTGCTTGGAATGTCTTCTGTGAAATATTCCTTTTTCAGAAGGCAAATGAATTAAGTTCATTCATGTTAGGCTTATTGATTTTCCCATTTTGTTGTCTGGTAAATTAAAAATCAAGAAGAAATACTGATATTTATTAAAATTTTTTACTACATTTTGTGTTAAACTAATTTTAATCTATTACATTCAGTATCTTTTTCTCAAAACCAGGTGGAAGTGAAAATTGTTCTGAAGCACTTTAGTTTTCTAATAAAAGGGACAATTGGAGTATTTTCGCTCTGTGATACCAAACAATAAAATAATCTTGATATATAATAATGCTGTTACTGTACCAAAGTTTTATATCATAAAACATCACTATATCAACAACATAATCACTAGGATACAAATCACAAGAGACAGTGCTCTTGAAATAAAAGTAAGAAAAGTTGAACGACTACCATAATTACATATAATTTTTGTCCGTATGACTTTTACTTCTTAGAAATTGACTTGTAGTTAGAAATGAGTTTGTCACCGTAGCTCTCTAGATGGACTTTTATTGAACTAGACTTGGAAGTACAGTTATTTATTCGATAAATGTTATGGGTCGTAAGACTTGCAACTGTAATCATTTGGCTAACCTACCATGGACAGTGTAATTTAGAAACCTTATCTAAATTTAATCATTTCTAGACCAAAGTCGTTATCTTTCTTTACTTTTTAAGAAAATAAAAGTAGAATACAGTGAACATCGTTTAACACGAAACTGAAAGGACTAAAATATTTTTTCGTGTTAAAAGAATTTTGTGTTAAAGAATACTGCATATGCATATATATGACAGGCCCTAGGCCTGCTGGTAAAATGAGGAGGGCATCATCTCTATAATAATGTTTTTATTTTGCTTCAATCATATAAAATCCAACATGGCGGCCCTTTGGCGCGCAACAGAGTAGAACAATGACAACCAATTCGGCAAGGAGTCACCAGCTAAGCCTTTTTGAGTATGCGTTCTTCTTCGTCAGCACTCGCTCCACCTTTAAATAGGCTTATTTACCCACAAATCCTTACGCGATGGTAAAGAGTTCACTCTATTTTTATTTATTACTTACTTAATTTTGAAGCTAAACTTTTCAAACCTGACATATATATATATAGGCTTATTCTCTACAAACAAGAGATAACATCCAACAATCACATTCGAAAAACACATAGACAGTAGGAAAATCACACAATGAAGGACATATGAGTAACCGAGATTAAAAATTATAAAATGGATGTTGCAGTGTTATAAACATTGCTGACAGGACAGCTAATATATAAAATAATTTATATAAAAGTGGGGCTGAACATGTTTTTTTTGGCCAGCCAACCTTCCCCCTTTATGTAAATAACACTGAGCAAAAACCAATAGAAAATAATGGATAGGAATATCTAAATCCATTACAAGATAGAGATAACTTACCTAAAAATTGCACTTACAAATGCAAAGCCTGCGCTAAATCTGAGTGCAATAAATAAGTTATTTGCCAGATTCTGGACCCTAATGCAGATTTAAATCATGTGAAGGGCTGAAATGTAGCACTTAACAAAAGTATAAAAAGAATGGAAATAAAAATTAATAAGAGTTGCAAATTATAGCATAACTTTTTAATAACACTAGAGTAATTATGAATAAAATAATATATATATATATGTAAGGATAATTAAATTAGATTAAAAATTAAATTCTCTATCTAGCACTTAACTCATCTTTTACATTTCATCTTCAAGTATCAAACTAACCACCCATTTATTTCTTCCGAACATATGGCCTAGCCAATAAACATGTCTAATTCCAGATCGTTATATTTAATAGCCCTATATGTCAGCATTAACTTTCAAAAGCACTCATGAACGCCGTGATCGGTGTTTCAAGTGTTTAACCCACTTTAGATTTTCGGTGGCGTTCTTTTTCCCTCAGCCTCTTGCTTCAGAAGAGATGTACTCATTCTAGAATAAAGACTTTTTTTAAAACTAAGTCTGTTTCTAACTCCAGAATCATGTCATATATATAGTATAATAAAAAACAAATTGTAATTCCTTCAAAGCTAAGAATGAATGATATTGTAGATTTTAAAAAACTTTTCAAAACCTGCTAAAATTTAAGTAGACATAAAAAAGTCAATAGACCAAAATGGTAAACTGTTATGTTTTCAAGAGCTGTCACTGAATTAGGACAGTGAAATAGGGTTAAGTTTGCTTTACAGGATCCTAGTCTTCCTCATCCAGCAGAAAATTTCGATATAATAGTACAAGAAACTGAAGAAAAATCTTAGAAAGAAAAATGAAGCCAAGCCTAATAAAGCACGTGCATGCAAAAGGACTATTTATATGCCATAAAATGAAATGAATGACTATTGTAATAATGTACAATGTTATACGTATTGAAACATACAATAAACTAACAATAAGAACTTAACTTACCTAAGTTCATCAAGTACTAGAGTAATAGTTTAAATTTTGAAGTATAAGAATGTATGTCATCTGCATTATCATCCCGTATACAGTGGTGGCAAAAATTGTGGACACTTTTTTTAAATTATGTTTTTCTAGTTTGTATGTTTATAGAAAAAATATTTAGTTAATTTTAAAAAGAACTAAAATAATAGAAAAAAGAACTTTTTTTTTAATTTCTTACAATTTACGCTTGTACGCTTGTTATGTAAGGAAAATTATTTTTTACTTTATTAAGATGTTTTAAACATTAATATTTTGTTGACTAAATGAACTGTAAAAATCGTGATACTTTATTGCTGACAGCAAGAGTCGGCCAATTAGTATTAATTAAAAGCTTCGCTCATAAAATGTAATAAACAAAGAATTCCTTTTTCTTCTATTTCTACTTAGACTACACTTTTCAAAAAATATGTGCCATTTTTAATGATTTTATCTTTGAAAATCAAAACACATTTTTTATTCTCATTTGTTTAATGTCATCACATTTCAGTATTCATCGAGTGTATATTATTTTTTTTTAAAAAAATAAATGAATAAGGAAGATGATATTTGCCCCCGCCGCGTTTCGTTAATTAACGATAGCGAAACTATTCCCATATTCTAAAAATAAATCTTAGTTGTTTTTCTTTAACAAAAGTTTAGGGAAGAGTCTTAATAAATACTAAGATATTTATTTAATAATTAATTGTATAGATTAAGAATTCTTTAAGAAATCTGAAAAAAAAATTGGTTTTTAAATTAATTTTTTCTTTTGAACCAAGAAATTATTTTAACTTTAAGATAGCTGAGTAATTTGAAATATTTCATTTAAAAATGTGATATTTCATTTTATTTGATATATTTTGTTGCAGAATGTAGATATTAATTTCACAAAATGCCTTTCCTGTAGATCAGCGATTCGGAACCTTTTGTTGTTGTTGTTGCGGTACACTTTTAGCAATTTCAAAATTTGGCGGCACACAACTATAAAATAAGTTTAAAAGAATTTTACTTATCTGTAATACACTATGCAAAATAGAGAGATTATGATAATAATTTTCAATGCTTTATAAAATAATATGTATGATAGACTCCAAAATGTTTTAATGAGTAATTAATTATAAGAATACACTTAATGCGAAATTTGAGCTTGAGGGCTTTTGATAATTTCGTTTATATTTGGTGATAAAAATGATAATTCCACTCTCATTTCGTCATCTTTAATTAAAAGTTTCGATCTTTTTTTCAATTCCTACTATTAGCTCACAATCTCTATTTTTATTTATTTATTTATTTATATATATATTTATTTATTTATCTTGGTGGAATTTTCAATCGTTAATAAAATACATTTTAAAGCGCTCAATTGAGCTGAAATTTTATATACAGGATTATTTTGGAGGACAATACAATAATGTAATAATAATTAATAAAAACTGATTGATTAAAA